CCTGCGAATTTGATGGAGTTGACCACAGAAAGAAAGACACTTGGAAAGCTTCTATCGATGCTCTGGAACAACGAAACAGACAGTTGGAGGAGACTATTAAGCAACTTAAACCTGCTCCAATCTCTCAGGCTGCTGCTGATACCGGGCAAACACGAGGTGAACGACTTATACGGGATCCCGGCAGTGGTTATTTGTCGGAGGGCATCTTTTCCCCCGAGTATTCGGCTGTAGCAGCTTTCAATCCCCTAGCCCCTATGGGCTTAGGAGACGGATTATCTGTGCCGTTATTCGATACCGGATTCGGCAGGATACCCACTGAACCTCATGTCAAATCTGCGGCATCAGCTTTTTTCTCTGGAATCTCCTGTTTGTTTCCTATTATTCCCTTCGAAAAGTATATAGACCTTAAAGCCCGGGTCTATAACAGCAACAACATCATTCAGAAGGGTGATGTCTGTGAAATCTGTACAGTTGCTGCTTTAGGCTCTCGATATGATGGCAGTAGTACCGACAAGTACTCCCAGGCCATCTTTTTTCGGACCGCCATGCTTCTTCTTTGCGACGTTGTAGAAGAAGCGAACATACAGACTATCCGAATTCTCATCGGCTTATCGATGTACTTGATGCTTGATAGATGCATCAGTGCGAGACTACTTATATGTCTGTAATTTACTACGTCTATGTTCGCTTTTGGCTAATCTGTACGCAGCCTGTGCTCTGGATCTGACTCGCTGGCAGCGACAACTTCTCAGCCATGGACCAGATGCTCCAACCGAGTGGCCCCTCGTTCTGCAGTCAGTAATGACTTTAGAAGCGTACGTATCACAATCAGAAAGACCTGCACCCTTTAACCGTCACCTAGCTGGCTTTCGTTCGCTTTCGGAGACAAATGTGGCTTGTCAGAAAATGAACTTCACGCAGTAGGTTGTGTTTTAGTCCTTATCACCCTTACTGATTGACTGGACAGGTCGCAATTTCAAATGACGTGGATATTAGGGACGTACATTCCAAAGGTCCTTCAAGGACCACAGGAGGTGTAATCCAAACTCAACTAAGTAAGATAACATTACTTTCCGTCCAGTTATATTCGCAGGTGGATGTTGCAATCTGCTCCTCGTGGTCATGGGACCAGTTCGAGCATATCTCGAGCCGCTTTGATGTGTGGAGTCAAGAGCTTCCACTGCCTCTACAACTAAAGAGCCTTTCTTTTGAGGACAGGAAAATGCCCATGGACCATAGGAGAGCCCTTCTATTGGTACATATGGTATATCTTCAGGATCGTGTGCTTCTTTATCAGCATTTCATGCGGCATTCTGCAGATACAAGGACTCTACCGATGGCAGAGAACTCCCAACAGATCTATGCAGCATTTGCACATCAACTTACCCAGATCATATCTATCATCTACACCGACAAAAGTGAAATCCTTAGAAGTTGGCTTTTGATGTTTGCCTACCTTTCCCCAACAGATGTGAATTCCTGGCTGAAGCACTCGTATCACAGTCATGCGGCATTTCATGCCGGTATAACATTGCTTTCAAGCATATGTCAGTATCTTATTGGCGGGCTTGATTCGCCCAATATACGGGTCCACCTCACCGACATCAGTACATGTCTTGATGTGCTAAGCTACTGTGGTCTCAAAGATGACGCCGCCCTACGGTATAGAGATATCCTGATCCCTCTGCATAGAAGCATGGAGACTATAATCCTGAGTTGTCCGTCACAGACAAGCATACATAAGGCAAACCAAATGGATATACGATGTCTGCTGAATCATTCATCCTCCGATGTGAATAGGATTTTTGACCTATTCAGTCATCTCATGAGTTTAACGACATTGAACAGACATCAAACTCGCTGAGTAAAACTGCCGGCTATACCAAAATTGGCATATAAAGGTCTAACTATTACCCTCTGCAAGATTCTGGGATCTCAATCATATCGTTCCTGGGGTATCGACTCGAAAAGCGAGGTCATTGTACGTAACTCTCTTACTCAGCAGACTAAGACCCGAAGGGGTGTTGGTCTACTCCACCTCAACGATAATATTCAGCTCAACGATACTTTTGAAGCTTATAACCCAGTTATACAACCCAGCCGTGCGATTTAAGTCATTATGGTGGTGTGGATCCTTGCTAGCCACCTGGCCATCTTTCTGAATCGTCAGAACCTTTGAATCTGCCTCCGTAGAGATATCACGCCCCGATTTCCACTATTTCTTTATTTGCTGTGGTTCCTGCCGCCTTTTGTCTTTATTCCTGAAATTTATGTTTCGCTTCGCATTGTGTACCGCCAATGGACCATCGTATTGGATACTCTGCTGTGATTTCCGCACGAATTGAAGCTTCTAATGGTGGTGGTGGGGCTCTATATCACTTCGAAGTTGGGCGGCTAGTTTAGTAGTCTCCAAAGAGCTTTGAATCCGCGATCAAAACGGCTGATAAGCTTGCATTAAGCTCCGGGCTGTTATTTGCAATTGATCGACGCGGCCCTCATATAGTAGATGGAGGTAGTGGCTCTAGGACCTTTGTAGAATTAAGCGGGTAGAGACCTCGCTTTCAAGGAGCATCTCGAATTGTGCGCAGTTTAAAGATTTTCTCGCGAATACCTGGGATCTCCCCTAAGGAGACGGCTTTGTCGTCTGTCCCAACCCCTAGTCCGGCAACGTAGTTGTTTCGGTCTCGATAGTAGTTTTTATACACCTGAAATGGCTAGCAGGTTAGTCGTTGAATCAGATGGGTTGTATGAGGTAGAAATCAGTAAGACAGAATCTCACATCCTCCGGATCCATGACATTGAACAGGCTTCCCGTGTTATACCACGGCATGTCAAATCTCTCACTAATACCATGGACAACTCCATGTGATAGTAAGATGGCCATAAATCTGGCACGACTTTCGTGAAAGAAGTTGGAGTTTCCCTGTTGATGAAATTCCGAAGCCGCCGCCCTGACTAGCTGGACCAAGATCAGGGCCATTAGATCACCATGGTACCAATATGAAACGCGCGGTGTAAATGCTCCAAGACGAACAGGGATCTATTGGCACAGTAAGCTCCTCAGGCGGCAACAGTTGCCCACCTCTTGATTGGCACATCTTTTGAACACCTTAGCCAATTAAATTGTTGAAATCAGGCCCTAGTGGGTTGGGGTCGTAACCTTTGTGTCTCGTGAAGGAGGAAAGTTAAAGACATAGAGAAACTAGTCAACTTCCCCACAAACTATTCTATTCTTTGGGCCCTAAGATAAAATCCCCGGAGAGTGATATTAGTATGCTCAAGGTCAGCTACTGGGAAAGAGTGGACACTAACATTTCTTGAAGTCGAAAATATTGAAATCCAGCATGCGGAATGTGGCTGTCTTCAAAAATTCACAACCCAAAACCGCAAATGGGTGGAATTCTCGTCTCTTGATTGCTGGGAAAAATACTTCCCAATGATCGCAGTGAATCGGCGTACAGCCTTCTATGGACATCCGCCCAAACCTACGAGTTACCTCGAGCTACAAGGTCTCTTCCCTCAGTTGATAATCAAGGCTTAACACAATCGAGCAAGCTTCGAAGAACATCAAATGCAACTGATGTTACTTCAGCAACGAAACCAGCTGAGACTGGAGCTATAGCATTTATCAACCAAAATGTACACAGGACAAGAGCAGTGAGATCAAGCAGTCATCATTACATGCTTCACAACAAGATAGGGATATAAGAATAGGAATTCGGACCCTTGTCCATCCGTCTTAATTCTACTTTTTCTGGATCAAAGCAAGCTGGCCATCAAGAAGCTCAAGCATATCCTCCGTACCCAGATGAGATGAAGCAATGGCCACGGTGTCTCGAAGCGCCTTGGCCATCTCGGCATCTCCTCCCTAATAAATTGGGAGACATACTGGGACCAGAAATCAGTACATATTCGCATTCAAAGATTGAGCTCTCGGTAGATTTGTTGTAGAACACAGCCTTGCTTGGCCTTGGTGCATCGAGCAGCTCTGACAGACAAGAGGTGCTGCTATGCTTGTCAGGGAGAGCTTCAAAGAATTTGTTCTCAAGTGGCTTGGCGGTAGCTGAAGCGAATCCTGGAAATGACCGAACACATTCTCCGAAATCGCTCGTGACATGATTCTCAGTAAAGAACCACTGACAAACGCCGACATTGCAAGGGTCTCTCAGTGCAGTGAACGATCAGTCACCAATATCCGTCGCAATCTCAAACTATTTGGGACACCTCGTGCCCCGGAAAACCGTGTTGGCCGACGCAAAAGCGTTACGCCTCACATGCTCCAAGTTCTTTGTGATCATCTCTATACCAATCCCGAATTATATCTTGACGAGATGGCCGTATTCCTGTGGAATGAATTTGACGTCTGGGTCACAACCTCGAGCATCAGGAGGGCACTCATCAGTAGTGGTTGGTCAAAAAAGATCTCCCGGCAGAAAGCAAAAGAACGCAATGCAGACCTGCGAGATGTCTATCTTAATAACCTCTCGGACTTCCAGTCATACCATTTGGTCTTTGTTGATGAATCTGGCTGTGATAAACGGGTAGGATCTCGAAGGACAGGTTGGTCCCCATTTGGCGTGACTCCGACACAGATCTCTCGATTTCATCGGGACCAGCGATATCAGATATTGCCTGCTTATACCCAAGATGGTATTATTCTCTTCGATGTCTTCCAAGGCTCAAATGATGCCGGAGTTTTTGAGGAGTTTATACGGCGACTTCTTCAGCATTGTGGTCGGTGGCCAGAGCCAAAGTCTGTGCTGGTTATGGACAATGCATACTTCCATCACTCTAAACGGATTAAGCAGTTGTGCCGTGACGCTGGAGCTAAATTAGTATATCTACCTTCATACTCTCCCGATCTAAACCCGATCGAAGAGATCTTTGCGGAGTTGAAGGCCTATATTAGGCGAATTTGGGCGTCATATCAAGAAGTACCAGGCAACTCCGGGGTAGGTGTTCTCGAACCAGGTCCCACCCACCTGGGGGGTTTTCTCATCATGCCGAGCTCCATCGCAACTGGTGACTTTGGGCCATCACCACCAGGGCTGGATTTGACGGAAAACCAGACTGGGGACCTGCTTGGAGCAGTGGTTCCTGTCGCTGTCCTCGGGTCAATCGCTGTGGCCTTGCGTCTTGTGGCCCGACTTCCAACCAAGGATATGACGCTGGCTACAGACGACTACCTGATTGTTGCCGCACTGCTTAGTCTCCCCTTGCCTTGTATGTCAAAATCTTGACACTGATATACCGGCACCAACAGTTGTTCTCATGGGGAACAGCGATATCATGCTTTCTCAGTAAGGTCTCTTGAGCTCGTTGATGGCTCATTGGTCTGCTAAAAATTTTCTGCCAGGTATCCCATACGGTAACGGCTATCATCTACAAGCCTTGACAACGCATGAGTTCACCGTAGTCTGGAAGGTATGACTATTACCACGGTTGCCTCAAAGTCGAGACTGACAATTCGACCATCTCTTTAGATTCTTTTTGCCTATGTCATGATCTACGCCACCGCTGTCACCTTCACCAAGGCCTCCATTGTCATGTTCTACGGCCGTATCTTTGGATTCCGCTGGACACTGGGTATCGGTCTATTCCTGGTCATAGGATACTGGATCACAATCATCGTGACTATCCTCGTGGCCTGTCGACCGCTTCCATATTTCTGGCTCTTGTACACCGACCCCACTGCCAAGGGGTTGTGCATCGACGTGCCAAAGTTCTTCTTTGGGAACGGAATCGGGGCCATGTTGATCGACGTGATCATCCTCTGCATGCCCATGCCCATTATTTATACGTTGCAGATGCCACTGTCTCAGAAGATCGCAGTCACCGGCATCTTACTTTTGGGTAGTTTGTACGTTGCCCCTTCCATCCTTGCTCAGTTCAACCCATACTTACTTCTTCTAGTCTCTGCGTCGCGAGTATCTGTCGCATCCTGGCCCTCCAGAAGAACACCCAAGGCATGGATGCCACCTGGACAATGGCACCCGTCTTTATCTGGTCATGTGTCGAGCCCTTTGTCGGGATCATCTGTGCCTGTCTCCCAACCTTCGGACACTTCTTCCATCGCTGGTGGGCCACTGTCAAGGGCCGTTCTGGCGGCAGCAGTGGTAACAAGACCGATACGGAGGCCTCGAAGACGGCTACCTGGATCAAGAAAGCTCGGGCTCGGAAGCCTATTAAGGACTCCTTGTTCAGCGTGAACGAGTTCGGGTGTGTGGATGAAGTCCATCTCATGAATGATATCAACGCGTCTCGGTCGGTGAAGGATGAGGTTGGGAGTGCTGGTAAGAATGACCTTGAGTCTCAGAGTACGATCACCGTCAAGCAAGATGTGGATGTATCGTGGGCTCAAAAGGGAAGGAAACATTGAACACATGATGTAGCTAGTGAAGAGAACTCCAGGGAGAGCGACAGATTTTCTATGTGATACCTTTCTTTTGTTTGCGTCCGAAAATTGATTCTGTTGAGTACGATTCATTATGAAAAACTTTTTCCATAAACCATAAATAAATGCAATCGCACTCTATTCTATCAAATCCCATTTTCAAATGGCGAGCGGTTTCTATCAAGCCGTGGTAATCACATTATTAAACAAGCTAGGTCTACTTTATCTGCTCGCGGTGGTCATCACTGCCAATGTTGACTGGAATTGATCATCTATTAATTTAATAATCTACCATAATAATCGTCATTATCCACAAGTGCTATTTCCATCAGTGGTTCAGGTAGAAAAGGTTTGCCCCCATAGTATTTGTTCGATGCTCGGCTCATTTTCCGTTTCACTTGATTATAGATTAAACCATCTAGATATTTTCTCATAATATGTCATTTTATGAAGCGGAAATAGGACTCGTTCTGTCTGAGTGCATAGTTTCGTCATCTTAGAGGGAGGATGGTAGAGGAGTAATGGATCGGGCTATATACGGGAGGTGCGTGACCACATGATCTCCACCGGTCAGTAGCATGGACGTACTATAGACACGGAAAACCATCGGAGTAAGTAATAGGTATACAAAGTTATTCATCGAATTATCTACATATTGCGTCATGATAGGCAACATCGATTTGCCGTGCCCTGGCACACATGACGTCTAATTGACCCTACTTCTACATCGCCGCTTGCCGTCTACCAAAGCTTAGTACACTCCTTGTACGTTCCACCCCGTCTTCCTCTTCCCACCAACAATCCCTAATCTTGTATCCAACACTCTTGGCGCCATATCAAAAGCAACCCACGGAGATCCTTCAACATGTCGCCGGTGACCATCAGCCAACCGGCAAGGTCGGGAGACCTAATCCTGGCATACCACAGCGAGAAGCGTCGTATGCTTCTTGTTACCTCCACTGGATCCGATCAGGTTACTTCGGACACTTCCATCATACGTCTGAGACGTACCCAGTGGTCCCTGGTCGATGAACCAAAACACTGAACTCTTTCCGGTCCCGAGGTGTACTACATAGAGAATACCGAGGACAAGACACAGGAATTACCTGGGTCTGGTAATTGTACCGATGATGAAGATGACTATTTGTATGAAGAGGAGCAAACGCTACGACAGATTCTAGATGAGCTAGCATGGGAGCGTTCGGGAGAATCACTTTCTGAATGCGTCGTGAATTCACACGGACGGTAAGTACTCTTCAGAACTGTCATAATTTAGACATAGCCTTATGTTCTGCATCTAGTGAGGTACTCGAGCACTATTTTGTCGGGTGTTGCCCCTACTGCAACGATGTGACCTTCTTCTGTCCTGGATGCGGTGGTGTCTCAAGAGAATTCCCGGAACTCTTTGGTAGTTGCGCTGTATTTCTGTCATGCCCCGTATGTATAGGGTATGCTATTGCCTCGGATGAGAAATCAGGATTGAGGGCGCTAGAATGGGAGGAGGATAACATCAAGCATTATCAAAGAAAAGGCAAGGAGTCGAAGCTATCTGCTGGTGAAAGGCGGCAGTTGAGAGAGCACAAGCATGAAATTGAGGATATTCTGACGGAGAAGTATGAGACTCTTAATGAGAGGAAGGAGGACATGGGCTTACCCTTGGACGACGTGGACGAGCTCGTGGAAGCGGATATGGATTGTATATTTGATTAATCGGAACTACCCTGGTTCAGCGCTTTCGGTATCACAAATCTGGGTTATGATGCAGGGTTTTTGCTTGGGTGAGGGGACATTGGTATCCCCCTAGGATGTTGGGTATGTATGAGGAACTTTCATTAATTGTAATAAGTTGAAAACTACTGCTTTGCGTCTAAGGGAAAGATTGATAGGAAGTTTATTTAAGTATTGTTTTCCATAGTAGCTCATTGATATGTGCCCATTTCTCTGCTGGCTAATACTGTACGATTCTGTATGATTTTACAGTGCCAGAGAATGATATATGATGTGATTGACTTGCCTGCCACTTTGTGGAACGAGAAACAGCTGGCTGTGATGCAACATGTCGAGCAGAATTCATATGGTGCCGGTCCAGTCTTCTTATTCTAGGAGCTGGACACTTGCGCAGAACTATTAGCAGTGAAGCGGACAAGCATTCACTTAGTCTTTTGATATTAAATTAAAATACGGTATTTAGGCCTCAAGACAGGTTTACAGCTATTCCTTGGAATGAATGTACACAGTTCTGTAGGCAAAAAGAAATGTTCATAGGTAGTCCCAATCGTAAAGGTTGCGCGGCTCTGTAGGGACAGTATATGCAGTACCACGAATAAAAAGGTAGGGTCACGCATTTCTGTAGAATATGTAATGTTCCTTGGAGTCCCATGGATGTAAAGAATGAGACTCTTCTGTCTGGATGGGCTGAGCCGATATGCCTGTAGCTAAGAGGACGTACGTCACCTGGGGAAATCAACTTGATCAAGAGTCTACATCAATATACAGTATCCGGTGCCCTGAGTATATTAAAGATCACAAGGCTTTTAACATTTCTTTCCCTTTCTTTTTGGACCACGTGGCTGGGGCGTACTGATCCGGATAACGAAATATAGCTTCCACTTTTTTTCTGTCCTAGTGCATCAGACACATGGTGTCCCTTTTCTCTCCCGAGCCAACGTGGCTCGTAAGAAAGCAGGGCCAGATTTCGAGGGTAGGGAGCGGACCATGGAATTAGACGACAGGAAATCTACGGGGAGAATAGTTATCGTAAACGCAAGGTTGCGCTCTGATATGGTGCGATCAACATGGACAGATGTTGGTATCAACCAGGACTGCTCGAAGCAGGTTGGCATGATATATACATTCCACCGGATTTGCCGGTTCAACCAATGTTGGCAAAAGATTGTTTGGGGGAGGTTTGTTTAGAATATTGTATCTATTCTCTTTCTACAATTTTGCGGTCCTCAGATGTATGAGGCGTGTACATCAATAATGTCTTTTCTGGAACGTTCAACCTACTTATAACAGAGGAGTGCAGTTCAACGAAGCACAAACTACGCCGGTGGGCCAGTGCGACACTGGCGGATTGCTTATCCGCCAACGCCGGTTTGAAAGAGTACCGGCATACTGTTCAACTGCAAGCGTAATGCGCCAAGTGAATAATTGACCAGTGTGGCTGCCTTGGCGCTTGTCTAGATGGGACTGAGGCCGTCATAAGTGAGTCAGGCTGTTGGCTCGATGCAATGTGATCGTTCCACGATCAGCCATCGCAACCAGCCTGTTCAACAGCACCATATGCAGAGATTACGTCTAGATTTGGTTCTAGCGTGTTGATACAAATGGCCCTTTTGTTCACCCCTTTTGTTGGGCTGCCGTCCACCATGGCGTGAGGACATGTGAATGGAATTTTGGCGTAGAATGTTCAACCGGCTGATACTGTTCAACCACGCACCCCTGCGCCGAGTGGAGATGTGGCGCGCGTGGCGGCGCCACTGTAGTCCTAGTGGGTCAGGTCAATGATTGAACTGCCAATATGATGAATGTACCGGCGGGGCTGGCTAGATGATATGGGTCCTCCAGAGCTAACTATCGGTAGCTGTTCAACGTTCAAGAGAAACATTTGAAGAGTTTGGTGTACAGTGGCTAAGAGATCGAGTTCAAGACGATTTGGCCGTTTGTGCGGAAAGTATGGGTATGCATCATAAGATCTAGGGACAGTGGTGATGAACAGCGGTCGCGTCAAATTTAGTGCTTCTTAGCCGGACACCGGCGTGTTCACGTGTCGTCCAACTTTTTGCTGCCCTCGACTATGACTTATGGATTAGTTGACAGGCATTTTTCTACGTGCACCAAGGAGCACTGCTCGGAATGCTGATAAAGTGTTCAACACACCTGGCTACAGGGCCCACGTCTGTCCTGTGTGGCTGCGCTAGTGCCGGTCTTAAGGGCCGCGCCGCACACCTGTCTACAATTCGCTCAAAAGTTCAACAGAGCGCTGGGGTGGTAACCTAAGACGTTGGCTGGATTCTGTGGGTTGTAGGTACGATTCATCAACGACAGCAGATTGCTCAACAACCCCACGTCGGGTGGTGGTCAAACACAGTATAACCTCGGCTGTTCGAGCGGCTGTTCAACCTGCTTATTTCGACATATTGCAAAGGGCAGCCTCTCCAGCGGTGATCAACAGTTGAGCCGCAGGTGATCACACACAGATTTCGGCTTGCCATAGCCTTAAGTGTAGTTCCTAATGGTCAACTTAATGGGGAACTAAGTCTGGAACATCCTAGCTTGACAATTTATCAGCATCTGAATGCGACGTTGAACAGCCTGTCAAACTCTATTAATGTCCTGTTCCTTCCCGTATACGACGAATTCTTGCTGATTCTTGCTGATCAGTGGTTAACAAAGTCAGCAATGGCGCACGCACCCGGGCGATCGACGGGATGGCGGGGCTTCGGACCTACACGTGCTCAATCATCAAGAGACATTTCAAGCATCCTCTGCTACACCCCGCGGCTGTCGCGTGGGAAGTTAACCTATGTCTGTTTAGAATACATGCATCAGGGCCACCGGGAATAGAGCCTAGTGGATATTAGGCCTAATGGATATAATTTGCGCATCGATCGTGCGGTGGTCTTATCAGCAGAGTTGGACTGCCCAAATTGGTCTGACAGCCGGGTGATGAACAAGCACTAGGGGCGGTTTGTCATCACATCAATAAGGGCTATCATACCAAAAGGTTGCAACACATGTTCAAACACGATTCATTCTGGTTCTCTTCATCTGGGTGCGCCTGGCTTGGTCATACAATTTCTTTATTCCTAGATTGACGATACTCTAAGGGACCTGCTTCAGAGCAAATGCACAAGATAACGAGGCTGCTGTCTGTCTAGGAGAAAGGTTTCTATTTCCTTTTACAGCACATGGAGATTAAACTCCCGCCTCCATCCTCGTTCGTGGCCCGTGGAGGTGGTTTCTGGGAAAATAGAAAATGATCCTTTGCGCTATACAGGCATGCACAGCAGTGCACGGCGCCCTGACATTTTAATGAGCTTTGCTCTGTCAAAGCTCGGTTAAATGGCAGAACTTGCCCAAGTTTCATAATGAGTTGTTCCATGTTACACCTTTTCCGGAAACTGCCTTTACCACTTGCTTTCTTTCCCGCTCTCCTGAACCCTAATGACAAGATAGGGAGACCCGCATTTGGCTGATTCACGGAATTCTATTGGGTGTTGTGTGCCGATTTTACTATTATAAGGAATAAACCTCTTGGCATAGGGTTTAGGAGAGAAGAACAGGAAGTGGATGGTAAAGGCAATTTTCGGACAGACTGTACTGGAATGAAAATATTCGCCTTTTATGCCTTGACCGTCTTTATCCTCAGATCTGCATCTGGCTCCGCAGCAACCGCACCATCTGACCAGACAGTCCGACCCCCTGCCAGCGTATGCTCCAATTCTATGTCTCCCGTTATCAAACAGCCAGTTGATGAATTTCCAGGGACACTAAAACTTATTGCCTGGGCCCGCCCGGGATGCCAAGGCCGCTCTGGTTGGACCTATTTCGACGACACCAACTTTGCGCGATGCGTGTCGAATTTTTTCGTTGCCCGCAGTTTTCGTCTCAGCCGTACACTGGAAGGCCAGGAACAATTAGAAATCTCTGTGACCAGCAATTTTTTTACGTGGTATCCAAAGAAAGACCGAATGTCGTACAATAGCTCCTCATGCACGACATTTTGGCAGAGTTACAACGCTGGCAACGGAAGTAAGCATGTCATAACACGGCACCGTTTACATGTCACCGGCCGTGGAACAACCTTGATTTACCAATCTCTTGGGAACTTATAGTAGAGCTTACGCTTTGACTCCGCCTGCTTCACCAAAACAAGTCCGGAGGATCATGAGATCGGGCTTTCGTCAGACGACAAGCGAAGCAACCACGAATCTCAGCCTCATTGCAATACGGGGATTTCCGAAAGACCTTTTTTTAGGGGGGATCTAAATCCACGTTGGGCATGCATTTTTGGAACATCCAGGCAACGATCACTGCGAAGTGAAAGAACTTGATGGAAGCTTGCTGCTCACAGGATGCCATTTTCACATTCTACAATGTACAAGTAAACTGGTATCATCATTTCACACCTCTTGCGTGCTACTGTAACTCAAATACATTACTACACGCTGTACCCAATGCCGTGGACAATGATCTCAGGACTGTGTGCTTGAACGAGCAGAGAGAAACATGGAGGCTTTGTTCACCGCCGCATCGAGATCCCAGGCCTCCCAGTGAATGGCGGGTACTGTCTCCTGATTGGTAACTTCTGCATCTTTGATCCACTCCTCGACTTCTTTCTTGCTGATCTGTTTGGGGAAGTTGCGTTTGTTGGTCGAAAGGTCGTTGGCTAAGAGCCCGTCCACTAGTCCGTCGAACTTGCTGCAACAGTCAAGGATGCTCCCACAGTTGTATAAAATATACAACATTAGTGGATCCAATTCGAAGGATCTGTCATTTCTGCAAGATTCGTCAGCGAAACGAACGCAGGCAATGCAACCATGGGAACGCGGACATCGTATTCCCTGTTTCCTCGCTGCAGATGAGAATGAATCCAAGCCCCAGGAAACACCCAGCCCACCACCACCGCGCCCCGACGGTCATATCGTCATGGAACCTCTCCCGAGCCCTGCCCCTCTCTGCACCACAGACTTCAGTGGTGGCGTATTCTTTCGCAGTCCGGGGGTGATGCTTTTGCTTTTGTCTGTCGAGTTCTTCCACGTACTCCAAAAACAGCTTGACCTTTGCAAGCCGAGCCTTAAGATACTGTACCTCCCCTTCCGCTTCTAACGCCTGCACATCCTGCCAAATCTGACGACATTTCGGAAGAGCGGGAATATCTGGAAACTCTGTCATCTGCTTGCTGTTTTGTAGTGTTCTTTGTGACAGAAGGGGGTCCGCGGACGCTTGTTAGGTCTGCGATTCGGGTCATTATATGCGTCTATCCCCAAGGATAGGATAGGGCTGATGGGTCATACGCATCCCTAGATAACCCTTGATCCTTTCCTTAACAAGGACAATCAACGTTGGTCACATGTTGAATAGGAGACTGTGGTAGAAGACTTTCCGTAGGTAGGAGTATGATGATGCTGCTCAACATGGCGACAAAGGCTGTTCTCGGTGTTGAACGCGCCATACCAACACCAGTCTACACACTGCCGTCGGATACTGCACGCGGCCCGGTTTTGACACTATAGCTGAAGTAATGGAGCTGCTGATCAGGCGTTTTATGAGCCCTAGCACTACGTGCATGATGAGCTACACGTCTAGGCCGTCGGATACCATGGCATACGGTACATAACGTATGCCTTTCGTTGAACTTCGGCTAGTCCACACACAGGCGTACCTGAACACAGGGTTTGATGTTCCTTTTTGCTTCCACCGAGAACCGCGATGAATATAATAAAGGAGTACTGTAGCCAGTCCGCAGAAAGTCTTCCACATGGGAGTAGCTTGACGTGGGGAATTGGGAATCCGCGAATTTCTGTCTAGTCAATGAGATGCAAGTATTGGCGGGGAACGAATGGGCTCATGTATGAGATTTTATGCTCTGTAACTCGTCTGCAGTTGGCGCGCTTATGATTTAGAATGCCAGCAGTGATTGGTTCCCCAGAAAGGGCTCTTCATGGTGAAAGTTGATAGTTGGGATAGAAATGTAGACCGATGGCACATCTATCATTGAATGATGTCAACTCTAATTACATACCTTGTAGCTATGAATAATAATCAGCTAGGGGCAGATATAGACCCATACTCTAAAACACGTATAAAAGAAGTATCGGGTCTCGTACTTTCCCCACCCCCAGACCCCATCCTATGTCAACATGTCACGAAATATCTGCGAGTCTCTGTTGGAATTAGCGAGACCAAAAGATAATGACCGGTTTATGCGACTTGAGGACACTCTTCTCGACGATGAAGAGGCGAACGAAGTTACCCTGCGAATGTACGACCTGATAAGCTCCACTTATCCGGTGGAAGTCCCCGATCATACCAGCCACTGCAAGGCTTTGGAAGAGAGTTTGGAGTACAAGATAACACTGCGTGAAGGGGACCCCGAGGAGACAGATCAAGAATATCTGGATCGAATGGATCGTGTGCATACCTGGCCGGCGTACAGCACCGCCGCCGAAGCAAAATGGATATGGAGAGCTCAGGTGACAATCAGGCCAATGAAGCTTCTCCATATATCTGGAGGATACGACTTTGCGGGTGTCTTAGGTGGAGGGAATTGGTCGTTCAGGCCCAAGGATTTCTACCAGTATTCGTGAATTTGTCTCAGGGAAGGGCAAGGCGTCAGAACTTGGGGCAAAAACTCGCCGCCGTTACCGCCAAAGGGGCTATCAATCCAAGAGGAAGGGGAGTGGTACTACAAGACAGCCGAAAGACACCAAGAACAGATTCTTGCAGCATGGCATCAAGGCAAAGAGCTGGAACACATCTCTGGACGGTTGACCTCAAAGATCTCCAATGTCTAACCCTATACCTAGACCTGTGAATTGTTAGGTAATGGACGATATACCGCAGTCAAATCAACTTGAGAGACTGCTCTAAAATTATAGTTCAGGGCTTTTTGCAAGGTGATCGGAAAGCGCTCCAATTATTAGTGAGATATGCATGGTCGACCTCTGATACGGCACGCAAAATGAGAGTGTCAGACAAAAGAAGATCCTGGCAAGAATCTTGTAGCATTTTTTTTAATGCAGGAAGTTGGCTCATTCATCAAGATATAGACGTAGCTTGGAATGAATATTCTTAACAGCCTGCTCGCTGCATTCAGCTGCGAGTGCTGTAGCAGATATAGACTTGCCATTCTTCATTATGTCACAGATAAATTGTTTCCTTGCGGGTGCTAAAGGTGGTGCCATTACCTGTAGTAATGTAACAATGAGAGTATATGTACTTGATCAAGCAGTGTCAAGGATTCTTACTGCGTGAACTGATGACAAGTGTTGGGTACGCCCTGCATACAGGTAATTTACAAGTCTCATGGTCATAATTTTGTTGTTTTCAATACGAGTATAATATCTGATATAGGATTCAGATATGACTAGCCAATATAGACTAGTCTCTCTTGGCGTCATGATTTTAAACGCAGAGAAAGCTGTTTGGGGGGCAGGTTCATTTCGCAGATCACTGTAGTACTGTAGGAGGCCTATACTTCCGCCACTCACAGCTACCTCAAAACACTCTGCTGAATGCGAGATCGCCTGATAGTTGGATATATACGCTGAGAACACGAGCGACCGGTTCTCATGCATAGATAGTCAGGGGTCAGCCCTGCCATCTTTGACCAGAGCGGAGAGGTGCTGCCTGCTCACTTTTTTATCATTGTCATTGTATCCTTACTCAGCCGTACCGCAGTCTCATGCTTCAGGACAAAAGCAACCGCTTCCAGAAGAATTGTAGCGATCTTTAGTATACAGTCATGATCCTTGGATAATGTCGGTGGTGTTTAGCGCGCTGGATGTCGCGCCGCTAGCTAAAAAAACCGTAGAGAAAACGAACCGTCTCTTCTGAGTCCGAGATGTATTGCCACTGCCGATTTGGGTCTCGACCGATACGTTGACAGTACCTATCACGGAAATCCTGATCAGCTCCCGAGTATACTGTAGCATAAGGTGAACATAATTCATTCACCCGCCCCAGTAGACCTTGGACCGATCTAACTTAGCCCGCATGCCATCGCTGTATCGCGCCTGCCGGGCCCGACGGATGACCGGGTTCTCTGCTAAGGCCCGATAGTGTTCTGGGGGCAGCTCGCCCTCATCGTTGGAGAGATCATTGTCCACAGCATTGTCGTCACTAGACCCCTCACTGTAGAGCTAAAGACGCTGTTAAAATTACTGCCGCACTTCTTATATGGGGATATTCCGCTCATGGCGGAGCCAGAATGGCTCTCGCTCCGATCCCCGCCCTTCTTTAGACCCGATAGGGGAGGAGTGGAATACCATCGTCGAAACAGATGAGTAGAAGGAGAACTTGGACGAATAGATTAGCGACGTGACGCGTAGGACGACAGGGAACGCAGTGGAATAAATGTGAGTCAAGAGTGACTCGGGAGTGAGGATGGTGGAAGAGCAAAGAACTGTCAGCATTTTAGAGAGATTATAGTAATAGAGACAGTAAGATGGTTCCAAGAAGAGCCGTCTAGCTCCTCAGAACAACAAATCGTCTGGGCCGATGTTGAGCATGCTCAACAGTTGAACTCAGTTCGCGCACCGAAGCCCCTGGCACTGCGTGAACTGATCTCCAATGGGTGTGTCGTAGAATGCATTCTTTAATGATATACACGAATATGACACAACAAGCGAAGACGGAGTGCAGAAGACCAATAAACATGCGGCTGGGAAGGATGATGGAGTACGGTAGTAAATTCAAATTGAATCAGAGCATTTTAAATCTGACGCCCTGCACCATATAGTCATCGATGAAGCAATGCGAGATTTCCGGATCTGGGCAACGCAGTGGAAAATAAAAGCCTTCAAGATGATCACGATCCTCGGGATCCGTGTATTGCCCCGGAAGCAGTTCTTTGCAGTAAGGACAAAATGGCGTGCGTCGTCGGCCGGCCAGATGCTCGTGGGCCGATGCTTGGCTTCCTCCAGCTTCCGCGAGAACAAAGTCGTGGAAAAATTTATTAAAACAATTGTAGCAGTAAGTGTGGCCGCAGCCTAGTGCTAGATCCACCACGTCGTGATAGCATATTTTGCACTCGTAGCGTGTTTCCAAGGAACGATCTGTAGATTCTTAGTGATCTGAAACCCTCGAAGCAACTCATTAGTCACCATTTGGTTTATTCCTGATCTGGGCCCGGCTTGGCGGTCGGCGGGCAATGACATCCACATCAAGAGGATTCTCTGGCCCATCGTCAGTCCATATTCTCCAACAAGAGTAGTCCCAAAATACCAATACTGTCCCCAGGTCGCTGCAAATCATGATAAAAACTTCTGTTGTCTGCGATCCTGGAAGCATCAACATCGATCGGGTTGGCTGAGGAGCATTGTCAGTACACATGCTGGGATAACTGCAGAGCTGCAGCTCACTAAAACTTGACCCAGGAGGGGAGGATGGCAAAGTTAGCGATCCTCCGATAAATCCCGAAATTTGACAGTCGTCACTGTGCCCACAGTGAAATGATACAAATAGAGAAATGGTAACGCCAGAAGGCCGTGGTAGCGACCCAAACTGAGCATGAATAGGGGTGAAGGGGGGCATCACGGCGGTATTGGCTTGAGAGCGCTGACAGATTCCCGAACCTGAGAGATATACGTTGAGGTTAAGTCCAGACTGGTTACAACCTGGGGCTCGAAAGGGATATTTATAGTCATCAACCTCTCCACCGTATGCGAGACTGATCCGGAATCCATGCCGAAATTGTCTCGCAGGAAGCATCGGATGGTAGCGACAGATGGTTGCAATATCTGCCCTATCCTGCGGGCTACCTATCATGCGCATGTGTCAGCGTACAGCCATATCTGGATCCCAAGGATTTGGTATCCTTACGTCCCATTGGGTACAGTTCCTTCATTGTTCTAGGTACAGAATAAACTCAACATGGATTGGATCCTGGCAGCTGCTAGTCGAAGACCCAAAACTTGTAAGCCCGTAAAGCTGAGCCTGCAAGATGCTGTAGCCGCTGGTCAATGGCAGTTATACCACATCCATAGTCCGGCTCGCCGCGGTTGCCGAGCAGGCCGTCCGCCAGCGATTCCAGCAGGTCTGGCGGGAACAGAGGGACGCGGAAAGGGTCCAAACAGACACGGCGGCTGACTAAGACTCCTCACAAGTCGAGCCTAATCTATACAAGAAATTTGTATCGATGCGTACCCTGCGCATCCTTCTGCAGCGCTTCCTCTACGAGATCAACGACTCCAACAGGGACCGGTGAAGCTGCGGAGAGTTGTGTCGCACACTCCGAGGCTCGTTTTCCTGTGTTCGTCGTGTCAAGACACGCCTGGGACGGTACTGGCCAAGCTGCAGGCCATAGACAGGCTCCGTGGGAAACTATCAGACTAACATGCGCTTGTATCTGACTCGCAGAGGGCCCACCACGTCGCTGAATTCATGCATCAAATGGGCCTGCCGGGCAGTTCCGCCATGCAAAGGCAGGAGGCCTACGGATGTGGAGCAGAACCAGAACCAAGGAATCTTCGTACAAGGTCCTGGAATATGTATGGAGGACGATGGAGAAGGAACGAGCTAACTGCGTAGAACGAATCATCCTGAGTATAGCAACACGTCAGTAGGCAGCGCTAGAGGATAGGTATTTAGCATAAAGGATGAATCATGGTGCAAAACTGTCCCGATAGCTACCAACAGGTTGTCTTGAGCCCCAGGGACTTCAAGCCAGTTCAGTGGACCTTTTGTTAAACCGAGCTCACCTCCAAATTGTTTAGAAACTGAACTTCGGGGATATCAGTAATGTAAAAATCCAAAGTTACATACTGGGGCAATAATATCCATCATCTTCCATACAAAGGGACTCTGCCAATGGGACGGCGATCTCCACAAGTCGTCGGTCAAGATGTTGAGCAGCTTTTCCTCAGACGTACAGTCATATGGTTGACACTCGAGCCACCATGCTTAAATTGTTGCGACGAGGGCTCTTTTTCCTATTGGCTCCATAGTTGGAATGACCTGGACGTGTATTGGTGATTCAAAATGTGTAAGTCACCACCGGAGGAACTGACTGGTCTAACGAGGGTAGTGTATAGCGCTCTATAACACCCCCGAGCTCCATTCACACCTTCTACTTCAATCATCAGACGGGTATCTGGGCGCTGTACACTCCCATTATGCGGTCAAGTCTCCATTACAGTATATCCATATTGCATCTTGCAACCTCAATCAGCCGACCAGTCGCCCGGGCGGTCTCTGTTCTTGGCACGGTGGACGATGGGTACGCGCGGTGCGAATTTGCCGTCCGAAGTGGTGGTCACACACCCTGCGCTGGTGCTGCAAGCAGTCAAGCATATTTGAGCCATCATATCCTCGTTCTAGTTACGCTAATGCACATCGAACGAAACCCGTAAGGTCAGTGTCCAAACATTCCTGATCAATCCAGTTGGAAGAGAGCTCTAATGGCACTTGTGGGCCTTCTAGACCGCTGTTCACCATATTGATGGCTTGGTCCACACGTCCTTGCAACGTCTGGTGCTCCTGATGGCCCAATTTTATGTCTTGTATGAAACACTTGAGCGGGAAACCAAAGAGACCGCATATCTCTGGTACTTCAGGATGGAAATTGCGCACGAAAGTGGCCAGCATA